AAAAGATAACTGAACTTCCTATTTCAACCTTGATATGTAAAGAAAGAACTTGCAGATGGTCACTCCTTTCCTTCAGAACAACAGCAACAACAAAAATCTGACCAGACAAATCAAGGACTGCTCTTAGAGCTATCAGAGATTTGAGTTAGTAGTTCAAACTACTACCCTCAAAACTAGAGAGGCAGGTAAATATAGAGACTCATAAGGAACACTTGAATGATAATTGATGAATTGCTCACATATGGACTAAGAGTCAGAAGCTCCTGCCCAGCCTTGGGAGGGCCGTCCCACCAAAGTCCCACATGGTTTTTATTCTCATGGTGAAGTTCAGAGAAAAATTGACCTGTATTATGGGCCTGGGAGGGAGAAAATAGTTAATACTACTGAATTGTATATTTTTAAATGGTTAAGATGGTATTTCATGAGTTTTTTCCCACAAAAATTAATTTTTTTTTTAAGAAATGAGCTCCCATGGGAGGTGCCTGTGACTCCAGGAGTAGGGCACCAGCCCCATAATACCAGGGGTAGCAGGTTCAAACCTGGCCCCAGCCAAAACTGTAAAAAATAAAATAAATAAATAAATAAACTCCTTCCTCATCAGAGGTTTAAAGAAAAAAAGAAATGAGCTATCAAATCATGAAAGACATGGAGAACCTTTAATGTGTATTACTAAATGAAAGAAGCCAATGTGAAAAGGCTTTTCTGAATTGTTTATTACACATTAAGAAGTTCAGTCAATAATACCAGTTAGAAACTCTCTTCTTGCCTCTTTTCTTGGCCCCTAAAGTACATTATTCACCTTTCACGTTAAATAGAGTAGGCAAAGGACACCAACATATAAGTTTTCTAACAGTCTAAACATACCCTTGTCATAGGGCCTTTACATTGGCTTTTTCCTTTACCTGGAGTAATCTACTCCAGATATCCGCAAGACTCAACTGCTTCACGCCCTTTATGTCTATAGTCAAATGCCCTTCTCAATAAGAACCTTCCTGACCATCTAATTTAAAATTGCAAACCTTTTCCCAGGCCTTTTTTTCCCCATAACACTCATCACATTTTAATGTTGGACAACTTATTTATTGTCTATCTTCCTCAGATACCCCTTAATTTTTGTGTATTGATTTTGTAACCTGCAATTTTGCTGAATTTATTAGTTCTAACAGTTTTGGTGAAATCTTTAGGATTTTCTACATATAAGAACATCATGTTGTGGGTGAAGGGCACACTTTTTATAATTTTGACTCAATCTGTACAAGAAACAAGTATGTAAATAAAACATGTACTCCCTAATGTTCTGAAATTTTAAAAGTTAAATAAAATGTTTTAAAAAAGAAAATCATGTCATCTGTTACCAGAGATAATTGTACCTCTTTCTTTCCACTTTGGATGCCTTTTATTTCCTTTTCTTGGATGATTACTCTTTTGGCATCTTGAATAGAAATGATTAGAGTGAGTATCTCTGCCTTAGAAGGGAACTTCAGTTTTTCACCATTACCTAATGTTGTTGGCTGTGGCTTTTATATAGGGCCTTTATTATGTTGAGGTAGTGTTCTTCTATTGCTAGTTTATCGAATTTTTTTTTTTAATCATGAAAGGTTGTTCAATTTTGTCAAATGCTTTCTATATTAAGATAATGGTTTTCTCCTTCATTGTGTTAAGGTAGTCTATTACGTTGATTGATTTTTGTATATTGAACTATCCTTGCATTCCAGGAATACATCCCACTTAGACATGGTGTTTAATCCTTTTAATACGCTGTTAAATTTGGTTTGCTAGTGGTTAGTTGATTTTTTTCATCAGTATTTGTCAGGGATATTGGTCTATAGTTTTATTTTCTTGTAGTGTCTTTGTTTGGCTCTGTTATTAGGGTAATGCTGGCCCTATAAAATGAGTTTAGAAGTGTTCCCTCCTCTTTAGTTTTTTGAAGTTTGAGCAGGATTGGTGTTACTTCTTTAAATGTTAGGTAGAATTCTCTAGCAAAGGCATCTGGTCCTGATCTTTTCTTTGTTGAGAAGTTTTTGATTATTCATTCAATTTCTTAATGATTATAGGTCTACTCAGATTTTTTATTTCTACATGATTCAGTTTTGGAAGATTGTATACTTCTAGGAATTTATCCCTTTCTTTTAGGTTATTCCATTTGTTAGCATATAATTGTTCATAGGTGCCTCTTAGGATCCTTTATATTCTGTAGCTTTGGTTGTAATATCTCCTTTCATGTCTGAGTATAATTATTTGATATTTCTCTTTTTAATCTAGCATAGCTCATTTCTTTCTGTTGCTGAATAATATTCTATTTTATGGCTGTGCCATTTGTTCATCCATTCATCTGTTAAAGAACACTCTGGATTTTAGCCATTCTGATAGATGTGTAGTGGTTGCTCTTTGTTTTAATTTGCATTTCCCTAATGACATGATATAGAACATCTTTTTACTTGTTTATTTGCCATCTATGTATCTTCCTTAGTAAGGTAGGTGTCTCTTCAAATCTTTTACTCATTTTTAATTGGAGAGTTTGTTTTCCCATTGTTGAGTTTTAGGGATTCTCTGGATATTTGGGATACTAGTCCTTTATCGGACATGTGTTTTCCAAAGATGTTTTTCCGAGTCTGTGGCTTATCATTTCATTCTCTCAACAATATCTTTCACAGAGCAGAAGTTTTTAATCATAATGAAGACCAATTATCATTTTTTTCATTCATGAATCATGCTTTGTGTGCATGTAAAATGTCATTGTCAAACCCAAGAGCACCTAGATTTTAAGAAGCTATGCTTGACACTCTATGCTTGGTTCCATCTCTCTTTTCTTTAGTATTGTTTTCTCAGTTTTCATTTTGTATTATTTAGTAATCATCTCTTAAGCATCAAGTATGTTTTACCTTTACCCCTACCAATGAAGCATGTATTTGGAATATGATTGTTTTGAATAAAATAAGTTCTCCCTTTGATTGGGTGTTCCTTCACCTACAGTGAGGCTACATCATGATAAGTATATTGTAATTCAAAAATATCATACATTGAAAATGCCTTTAGTACCCCGATAAGCCGATCATAAAGTCATAAAACCCTAAGTTGAACCATTGTAAGTTAGGGATCGTTCATACTTTTTTTGGCATAAAGAAAAGCATTGTCTATCCTAGAAATTCTTTGCAGCATTTATTCTCTAAGAATATCCTCAAAGAAGAGAGCGATCTGGCATTTACTTAGTGCTTTATTTTCTAGCATCATACTAATGTTCTTTATATACTTCAAGGTATATGTTGTATATATTTGATCATGTATATTATTATATATATATTTGGTCATGATTTTGTAACTTTATTTCT